CCCCCCCCCCCCCCCCCCCCCCCCGCCCATCGTGGGGTTCCTTACCCTCTCTCTCTCCTGCTTCCTCTGTCCCTCCCCTAGAGAGGGGCTTCGGGAAGTTGAGAGCTGCTAAAGAGCAAGTACCCCTGCGCACTGGACGGAAGAGGGGGCCACGTGCAGGCTCCTTCTCCTGTCATATCTATGGGTCTCTGGAGTGAGAGGCTGCTGCCGGGGGGGCCGGCCCGGAGCCCGGGGAGCCCAGAGGGAGGGCCAGGGACCCTCTGTGAGCCCAAGGTGCCACCTTTCCTGCATCGACACCCACGTCCCATCCCTTGACCCCCGCGTGCCCCTCCCTTCCCACCCACCACACACCACACACCACACCGGGGCCCTTCGTCCTGGCCCCTGGTCACATACCAGTGCCTTAATCCCATCCAACAGCCTCGTGACCACCATACCCAAACCTCGCTTTGCTCCTCCCAACAATGGAAGAATCATATCCTGGACCTCAAAGGGCAGGCGCTGTGATTAAATCACACCCATGAGGTGGCCAGGCGGGACCCAGCCCGGAGGGAGGGCCCAAGCCCTCTGTCGTCTGCCCTCTACTTGGCCCACCCAGGCCGGTACAGGTTCGGAGGGCAGTCAGGGGTGACTGGGCCACCGGCACTGGGCCTGAGCCACCTCTCTCTGCCCTCAGGTGGTCTATCTGCACACCAACAACATCACCAAGGTGGGCGTCAACGACTTCTGCCCCGTGGGCTTCGGGGTGAAGCGGGCGTACTACAACGGCATCAGCCTCTTCAATAACCCTGTGCCCTACTGGGAGGTGCAGCCGGCCACTTTCCGCTGCGTCACCGACCGCCTGGCCATCCAGTTTGGCAACTACAAAAAGTAGAGGCAGCAGCGGCCGCTGCGGTGGCCTGGGCGGGGTCTCTGGGGAGCGCAGCAGACATCCCGAAGGGGAGGGCAGAGCGAGGGAGGGAAGCCAGTGCCCAGCTGCACCCAACCCAGCCCCCGCCCTTGATCCTGGACCCCAACGCGCTGCCTCCTGACGCCCTCATCCCGACTCCCAGGCGTGCAGATGGGGCACAAGACCCAGCCGCCGTCACGTGTGCCTTGGCTTCAGAGCTGCCCTTGCCCCCCACTTCATAGCCACTCAGAGCACCCTCATAAAGCTTTCTTCCCATTCACCCTGAGATCAAGTCACCCAAGGCTCTGGTCCAAGGAAGACGGTCCCTGGGTCTAGGGGGTGGGAAGGGGCTAAGAGGGAGGAAACAGCCCACCCCACCTGCCTGGCACGCATTCCTTCTTCTCATGTACTTCCAGCTTCCAACCCTCCTTAGCCTGGCCTGCTACCCCTGGCCTTCCATGCTCCCCCCGCCCTTCTGCAAGTTCACGGCCCATCTACCCCAGCCTCCTTGCTCTACTGGCCTCTAGACCAGTGTCTTCCTGTCTGTTTCTCTGTCTCTCTCTGTCCCTCTCTCTGTCTCCATCCATCTCTCTCATCCTCCCTCTCCTCGCTCACATCACTGAGCTGGGTCTGGTGTCTGTCTCACTGGGCTTCTGCCCAGCCCCAACCTAGGCAAGCCAGGGGGCAGAGGGCAGCTGCCCCCAAGCCTGCCCTGCCCAGACTCTGCCCCCCCACCCCAAGTCTGGACAGTCCTGGAGGAAGCCAGCATGTGGAGGTGATGCACCCTGCGCGCAGTCCACAGTCCGAAGGGGAGCACTGGCCCAAGAAAAGGCCCAGCATCCCGCTGGAGTCGGCAGCCAATTTTCCTTGGCCTTTCCCGCCCCGCACGATGGCTAGTTCCCCCCTCCCTTCACCTTCTGGCCCCTGGTATGGTGGGGGTTTCGAGCAATCACACCCAGCTTGAGGAGGAGCTGCTTCTGAGGTCGGTTGTTGTCTTTCAATTAAAGAAACACTGTGCACTATGGCTGTGTGCGCCGCCGCTCTCGGGTGGCATTGGGGACTGAGCAGACGGGGTGGGGGGGGGCGGTGGTGGAGGGGCACGATGTGCGGCTGCAGCTGGCGGCCAGGCTCTGCCTGTTCGTGTCCACTCTAAGCCTCGGGCTTCCTCTTTCTTGCTTTCCCTGCACTCAGGCAAGAGTCCCCAGTACCTCCAGGTCTGAGACTGGACAAGAAGGCCCCTTCCACTTCTTTCTAGGCACTTCCATTGCCCCAGCTGTCCTTCTCCTGGGCTCCTAAAGCAGGCCTGGCTGAGGGAGCATCTGCCCACCCAGAGTGGAGCATTTGCCAAGCACCAGCCAGCCGAAGAGCCCCAGATGAGACTCTCACCCTGAGAGGGGAGCCTGGAAGTCCTAGGGGCCCCGCATGCCTGTCCTAATGGGATTTGCCGGCTCAGAATGAGGTTAGATCCTGGCTGCTGTCAAAGCTGTGTGTGGCATCCAAGTCAGCACCAGGGGGCGCACTGCCACGCAGGCCTGGCCTCCTAGGGCCGCAAGTTGTGCGAGGCCGCCTGTGCTGGCCTGGCCTGGCCTCAGGGCAGACACACTGTGTGCCAGCAGAGCCAAGCCCAGGTTGCCATATTCTGTCAGTGGCTGCCAAGAAAGGGCAGCATGAGACAGACGGTCCCCGGAGCGATGTGCCCTCAGACGGCAAGCCCAGAAGACCATCGGCATCACAGCCGTGATGCTCCACGGCAATTTCTGCTGAGCTGGGCAGGCTCAGGGCAGGGGCACTGGCCAGGGTCCACCAGTCACTGCCTCAGTCAAGTCCCCTCACTGGCCAGAAGAGGGACAGCCGGCACTGGGGCCCGGAGGAGACAGAAACATGGAGTCCGGTGGGAATGGCGGGTCACCTGGCAGAGCAGGGGACAGCGCCCTGCAGGCGGGACCCACACTCTGCCCGCACCAGAGGCGTCGAGGTACCCAGGGGACCACTTGGGCCCGTGGCAGGAGCCCAGGGAGGCAAACAGGGCCACACGCCACAAGAGCTTGTGAGTTGTGGTTGGCAAATGGGGTTCCCTACCCAGAGCAGTTGGTCAGAGATGAATCACTTAGGCTCACTGTGCCGTCCAGTGTGTTGCAAACTATTGGAGGAGGATGATGACCATGGTCATACAAAAGGTGAGAGTGATCGGGCTTAAAAAGCAAACCCATGGCAACCCCAAGGTGATCCGTGCCAGGCACCAGCTGCCAGACCCCGTGTACTGTTCTATGTACACGTTATGCCAGGCAGAGTGCCCTCCTCATGGAGCTCCGCACCTGGCTGAGGTCACAGGGAACCCCAGGTGGCAAAACCGCAGAGGGCTGGGGGGGGCACCCTGAACTGTGAGTACCTGCATGGGCTCGGGGGCGCCCCGTTAGAAAGCCCCAGCAATGCCAGAAAGGTGGCAGGAAAGACGGAAGGAGCGGCCGGGTTCCAGCCCTGGACTTGGGGACAGATTGAACGTGGGGCGACAGGAAGGGAGTGGGCAGGATGGGAGTGTGGGACCCCCACATCTGAGGCCCCTGGAGGAAGAGGAAGGGGCCGCAAGGAACATAACCTGCGGGGGAGAGCACCCCAGGCGCCATGGGGGTGTGGGTGCAGCTCAGGGGGAAAGCCTAAGGCTGAGAGTGAGCTGAGGCAGGCACGTGTGCGTACTCGCACACACACGCACACTCGCACATGCACACACGGGGCGACAAAAGTCCCGGGAGCAACTCGCTCAGGGAGGGCCGTCTTGTGAAAGCAGCGGCTGCCAAGCAGTGGACCCAGGGACAGGGGGCTGGGCTGCAGGACATTTCCAAGTGCTCACCGCAGGTCAGGTGCCTTCTGGATGTGGTGCGGCCCAGCTGGAGCCTAAGCCGAACCCACTGCTTGGTTTTAGACAAGTTAGGGCTTGTTGAAGGGGCAGCCAGCCAGGCGTCCGTCTGTAGATCATGGCCGGGGATGGGGGCAGGGCACCTCAGAAGGACAACCCCTCCTTGAAGGGCCTGAAGGGGCGGTGGAGGGGCTGATTTGAGAACTTGGGGGGGTGGTGTTCATTCGCTTCCGGTCCCCCCTGCGGTCTCCAGGCCCCATCCCCATGGGCTCCAGCTCCAGTCTTGGGAGGGCAGAGGCTGCAGGCAGAGGCAAAGCCAACTCCACTCTGGACACGTGGGGCCGGGCGCCCTCACCAGGGTGGCCCGGAGCCACCACAGCCCTAGAGAGCCCGGGGCCACCGCGGCACCGCGGGGCCCAGGGCCTGCTGCACACAGGCTGCCAGGGCAGAGGTGGGGTGCCCGGGGTCTGAGCTGGCCCCCGAGGCTGGAGCAGGCTGGCGGGAGGGCTTGTGCTCAAAAGGCCGCCCAGCCGCAGCCAGGCCTGAGTTGTTCCTGAGCATGAGACTCAGCCCAGGCTGTCCAAGACCTCTGGGGCACAGTCTATTGAGGCTGAGCACCTGAGACGCCCAAAGGGAGGTGTGCTGCAGGCAGGGTGCTGGGGGGCCCAGGACTTTCTCGGGGGCCAGGTCAGGGACTGGTATGAATTTCCCAGGGATGCTGTAACCAAGGACCACGAGCAGGTGGCTTCGAATGGAGATTGACTCCCTCCCAGCTCTGGAGGCCACAAGTCCAAAATCAAGGTGTCAGTAGGGCTGTGCTCCCTCCAAAAACTCTAGGGGAGGATCCTTCCTGCCTCTCCCAGCTTCTGGCGGCTCCAGTCATTCCTTGGTTTGTGACTGCCACTCCAGTCTCTGCCTCTGTCTTCACATGGCTTCCTGCCCTGTGTCTGCGTGTGTCAAATGTCCTTCTGCCTCCCTCTTATAAGGACACTTGCCACTGCACTTAGGGCCCTCCCAGATACTCCAGAATCATCTCTCCACGTCAAGATCCTTAAGCACATGCGCAAAGCCCCTGTTTCCAAATCAGGTCCCACTCTGGTTCCGGGGCTGCAGGTGAACACTGACCCGGGAGGTCCCAGCGTGATGGTGGCCCCAAGGCCTTGGAGGAGTAGGCGAGGAAGAGTCTGTGACGTCAGCCAGGGAGAAAGTGAACACTCCGAAAAGAGAGGGCCCTGGGACCCAGCCAGAAGTTCCCCCACTTCAATGCTGGGCTGAGGAATTGCTGTCCCCAGAGACGGCTGTGACAGCCACAGCAAAAGTGGCAGTAGAGAAACCAGGCAGGGGAGGGGTGGCAGCTGCTGGGTCCAGGGGGAGGATCGTGGTGGCAGGTGGCTTAGGACCTGGGAGAGAAAGCATCCGGGCAGTGGAGGAGATGGCGGTGGGGGGGGGGGGGGGG